GTCCCTTGTTCTGTTCAAAATTACGAAATACAACTTTGTGTGATTTTGGGTTGAGCCTGTGTAGAGAAACAAAGTTGAAGACGAGGCGTGAAATAGTTCAAGAACAGTTCAGAATGTCTGTCTGAGTATTTGTCGTAGATACAGGCTGAAAGTTTGGCCACGTTCTCCGCAGAGACAGAAAATTCAACATGTTTCCAATTTGGGTTGTCTGATGAGGCCATACTGAGAGCAAGACACGGGCACAGAGGCATGCCTACGTGGAAAACACCTTGAATGACTTGCTTCATCATAGTACAGGTGCAAAATGTTGCTCCACTCACTAGGATTCACACACTGGAACTCCTCACCGACATCCAGCCAAAACTCTAGAAATTCGGGCTTTCGTGAAGGAAATGGATCCATACGGAACATTCAGAAAGCCTACTGTTTTTTTTTTTGACCTGAGTAGTTAGATTAGATGCAGAGAGCTCTGTATACAAGGTCTCATCCATGTTGGTTGAGAAACGAGTGCAAGAGAGTGCGATCAATCCCAAATCCGGCCATCACCTACAACTCGGACACCAGACTGCACCCGAAGAAATGGCGCCGTTCAACGAATTCTGGCTCGTTTTCCATGAACCAAAATTCAATCCTGGGGTAAAAGATGAGGGTCTAACGATCTAGAGACTCACTTTGGGCATAAGCCTCCCGGATGACCCGATATCTACAGACTTTCTTCGGTGTCCGAGTTCCAGGGGGGGGATAGTATATAATCACGAAATAAGGACCTTGGTTCATGTTTTGAACTTTGTCAATGCTCCTAGCAGAATTTTACAGATCTTCTCTGCTCGCTCAAATTTATTTGGAATTTTTGAGGATCATTTGAGGCCGCTATTGAACAGTCAAATTGATGGCTAAACAGAAAGAAAGCTCAGTTAATTTGAATTGAGGACCAAAGAACGGTGAAATCCATACGCCAAAAAAAGTCAGGCAGGAAAAGTATGACTCAATAGGTTTTTTGGCGCCCGGGTCTTCGCAAGTTCAGATTCGGGACGAGGAGTGAGGCGGAGGAAACCCACGAAAATATGGCGGTCTGCATTCCAGATCTAGGAATCTGACATGCCCACGAAAACGTCAGTTTGAGACCTTGGAAGTCCTAAGGTAAACTTGGACTTTGGAGTTATGATGCATGTATCTGGTGTATATTTAAAAGTCAGACTCCGGCCGATCAACAGACGATGTTTACCGGAAACGCAAAACAAATAGTTGGCCTTGCAATGTGGATTCTTTAAATTTCTTCCCTCCTAACTAACCAAGAGATTAATGTAGGAAGGACCAACGGTATTCAGAGAATCCTTCCCACCGATCTGTGTAGTTCGTTTCTCTTTCCTGGGGGATTTTGTCAAGGAGATGTATATGAATTATTAAAACTTAGCGGTGTCTGGCACTGTCGCCGCAATGACAATCCACAGATTTCTCGGAGGGGGACTACACTTTCAATCCCCCGGAACCCCAAATGCATAGACTCGGAACAACGATCCAATGATCCCCGCAAAGCCAAATAAACGGATTCGTTTTGATTACCCCCAAGAACCCCAAATGGACTCGGAGCACAACTGGCAAGGTTGCCCCTCAATCCAATAACCATCCCCCCAGAGCCCAAAATGAGACAGTCGAAGTTGTACTCAATCCACCGAGACGCGGATACATGAATTCGACGCAACTGGCAAGGTTGTGCTCAATCCAATAATCCAGAGTTTGTATTGGGTACCACGAGAACCGGTTACAAGAAATGCACGCAACTGGCCAGGTTGCGCTCGATCCAATAATCCGGGTCCCAAACGGCACAAGTGTCGAGGCGTTACTTGGCCGTTTATATAGAAAACCGGGACCCAAATCTCCGGCGTCCCAAAAGACTAAACAAATACCTGGTCCATGCGCGACTCAGTCGGTCCCCACAATATCTCGGACTTAAGTCGAGCTCGTCGCTTCGGACCATGTCGACACCACTGACCATTCGGGCTCAGAGCTCGCTCAAGACTATAAGAAGTCAGACCAGTGTGTGTCTTATGCTGCCTGGTGAACTTGCTGTAAGTCAACCCGCAAGATCGGCGCTGAGTTGAGCCCGCAAGAGTTGCATTCAGAGAATTAGCTGTGAATCACATCTCTCTCTCACTTAGTGATACTCATTCAGCCAATTTACCAAATGTCAGAGGTTTGTTGTCCAGAACAGTAACAATGTGGGCTGAGTTTGAACATGCTGCTCCAGTCCCAGCTGCCACCTTGAAACTGATGGCAACCATGCTCCGGTCGGACTTCCAAATACACGCCGATCGGCACCGTTCGGCAATGGTTAATGCTGACCAGCAGTGTCAGTTCCACGGTTTCTACCAGAAATCAATGGGTCATTTTGTGCTGCAAACACTTGGTGGTGGCCGCCGTATTCCAGTGGAGCTCACTGAATTCTTTCATGCCTTATTGTAGTGTTTTGGCCAGTTTCCGCCAAAACAAGTGTGATGTGGTTCTTTCCAAACTCCTTGAGGTAGTTGCTTTCAATTCTCCCAGTGTTTCATTTCAATGGTTGATAATTAAAAACAAAGAACCCGTGAACAAACGGCCGAATCAGCCCTGGACCCTCGGAAACTTCGAATCGACACCTATGAAGTCTGGAAAGCTGTTGCTCAGTTATTGAAGGGTCTTTCTACTCTGTCCAAGGATGCTCAAAGACTCATATGCGCCCTCCGCACCCGGCCAATACCCGCCCCACACCCCCACAGGGCTCCACGAACGAATCGCTTCGGGGCATCGTGACGCGCGTACCCATTTGCGCCAGGTAGGCGGCGGTGACTTGTAAGGCCTAGAGACGCTCTCAAAGGCTCCCTAGGCCTGCTCCATACTCCATTCAATAGCGAGAGAATACAATTCAATTTCGAGTTCGAGCAGTACAGAAAAACATGCTAGGAGCTACATTGTGGTGCTGGAGAAGGAAGAATGCGAGGAAAAAGTTCTTACCATTCTATCATTCAAGGCTCAAGTTGACTCGGAAAAAAATTAGTAAACTGGCAGAGTCATTGCAAACCAGCCTCAGAGGGGATTGGTACCGGTCTTCTGGACACTTCATCCAAAAACGACCTTTGAGCAGGGTTCGCACGTGTGCCCGAATAACTCAATGACACACATCCACAAATGCCCACAATTACTTAGTAAGTTAGCTGAAATGTTCGGCCCGGTTTTGTGGACAACCGGAGCCCGGAAACCCTCTCCAAAGATATAAGGCCACGAGTATTTGCATAACTCCCACCTTGTCCCTCATAAGTATACGGACACGTTGCCTTGGTTCAACAGGCCATTGGTAACACAGCCATTGGTAACAAACACATCGACCCGTCAATGCTTGTGGCCTGCGTTTGGGAAGGAGGTGTTCTGACCTTGCGGGATCTCTGCTCCTTGTTGGTAATTAATTTTTCCATCAATAAAGGGTGCCCAGTCTGATTTTGGCACCCAGGTGTTGACTGTCCTGTCAGTCTCCGATGCGAGCGCCGCCCTGCCCAGAATCATGTCACATGAACCCCGGCTCTCGATGACGCACATTGATCCGTCGATGCTTCTGGCTTGCTTTTGGGAAGGAGGCGCTCTGACTTCACGGGATCTCTTCTCTTCATTGGTAATTAGTTTTTTTCTATCAATAATGGGTGCCCAGTCTGATTTTGGCACCCAGGTGTTGACTGTCCTGTCAGTCTCCGATGCGAGTGCTGCCCTGCCCAGAATCATGTCACATGAACCCCGGCTCTCAATGATGCACATTGATCCGTCGATGCTTGTGGCTTGCTTTTGGGAAGGAGGCGCTCTGACTTCGCGGGATCTCTTCTCTTCATTGGTAATTAATTTTTCTATCAATAATGGGTGCCCAGTCTGATTTTGGCACCCAGGTGTTGACTGTCCTGTCAGTCTCCGATGCGAGTGCTGCCCTGCCCAGAATCATGTCACATGAACCCCGGCTCTCGATGACGCACATTGATCCGTCGATGCTTGTGGCTTGCTTTTGGGAAGGAGGCGCTCTGACCTTGCAGGATCTCTGCTCCTCGTTGGTAATGAATTTTCCTATCAATAATGGATGCCGAGGCTGATTTTTGCACGCAAGTGTTCTGTAGCGGCCCTGGTTGAATGTTGTACATGATGCACGCATCTCAGTCCGGTAGCTTTTTCCTTAATGTGGGTTCCCCCACGTTTCCCCGACGAGGTTTTGACGCACCCGCGGCATAGATAGTTGTAGATAGCTTACCTACCTACTTTTTTCTTGCCACGTAGTTACTCGTCTTGTCTTTCCAACACCAGTTTCGTGCCCCCGCTCCGCTCGTCCCGCCTCATATCCTTTTTGCTCGAGTCTCGGAGCAACCCGTACCGTGACAGTTTGAGAAGACGATAGGACCTTCGACAGGAAGAGAAAACTTTAACTCGACACACAAGGTTCGTCTGCATCCGGGGAATAAAGTACTCTTGCTGCGAGAAGGTGACCTTCATCCAGCCGATGCCTTCTTTCCATTGAAGAATCAATTTTCATTTGATTTCTGGCCGTACCATCTCAACCCCGCACCCATCTCGCCATACTACAGTGGCGTCGAAAAGTTCCGCACGGGGTCGTTTGAGCCCATTTGTTCGTGAAAGAGGTGATGCCGTCGTCGACGGGCGAATTTATTCCCACTTTCTCGAAACCAATTTTGCCCCTGGGATGGGCTTTTTGGACCTGGCGTTCACAGGAACCTGAAAAATCCACCTAAACGGTCAGATATATTTTTCCAACTGCTAAGAGTTACTCCGGCAGCGGATTTGGATTTGATGGGGTGACGATATCCGTGACAGTACCGTTACGGACGCGATTATCGTGATTTAATCGATCTCTCAGCATGCCTCCGCCCAATCTCGACCCTCAGGAGACTGCCAGATGGGTTACCTTGCTCATAGTGGCTCTCATGCAGTATATTGTACTTGGTTTGGGGCTCTATGTTTATCCCCAGTTATCATGGTCCTGGCATGAATTGAACATGCGACCTCCGGTGAAACACTTTCATTTGTACGCTATCATAAATGACCGGTGCTCTACCACTGAGCTACGGGACCATTGGCAAAGTAGTAATACTGGCCAGCTACCAGGCACTCACTATTATTTCCTTTCTTTGGAGACACCGTGAATACCACCACTCATGAAAGGGACATATGTCCCCCTCACCGCGGATTCCGTCACTCACAAATAGTGTGTGTGACACGGTAATGGGATACCCGCGGTATTACGGGTATGGGTGTCGCAGGTGCAGGTGTGGGTCCTATTTTTTCTAAACCCGCCAATACTGCCCCCGTGGGCATACCATACCCGCAATACTGCTGTAAGTTCACTGTTTAGAATGCTAGTATATTAGGTTTAAACATTCAAAAATATAGTAATTGCACTGATTTATGTTTTAGCATCCCAACTCTCACTGAATTTTAGGGCGCTCATATGGGCGCTAAAAAGGAACCAAGCTCCTCTTGTGGCTGTGCACCACGTGATGAGCACCTAAAGAGGAACTAGGTTCTCTTTAGCTGCCCAAAGGTGCCTTGCCTTCAAATTTAATGGCCAAAAAATATTTTTATCATAGATAGTATCCAGTAAATGTATCTACATGCATGTGAGTCACAAAAGGGGACACATGTCCCCTCACCACACACAGCGAGTCAAAAGAATATATTTGCGTGATAAAAAAATACATGGCGCAGGCGAACGAATATGGGCAATGCGGGGTATTGGATACAGCTGACACCGGAGGAAGGGCGTGTCCGACAGAAGACGGGGCGATGAAGTGACATCCATTACTCGCCATCTTCATCCGAATCATTATCACTGTGGAGATTCTCGATCTCAGTCAACGCAGAGGGGGGGAGCTGGCTAGTAGATGCGACGGGGCCTTTATGGAGTGGGCAAGGGCAAGGGCGAGAGCGAGCAGCGCCGGCAGGGAGGCTGTTTTTCTTCGGCGCAGCCCTCTTCCCGATTTCTTGAATACGAAGGAACTTCTGGGACGGCTTCGCTGCGTAGGGGAGAGGTCGGCGAGTGGGTGGCTCCTTGTCGTCGTTGGCGCGCACCTTCCCCTTTCCTTTGCTCTTGGACTTTTTGGAAGGGCCCTTGTCTTCGCCGTTGGACTCATCGCCGGAGTCTTCGTCAGGTTCATCATCGAGCTCGTTGTCTTCGTCGAAATTTTCTTCGTCGGCGTCCTCGTCGTCCTCGTCGTCGTCGATCATGTCTGCGCTCAATTTCTTCTTCTTCCCCGCTGTTTTCTTCTTCTTGGGTTTCGCCCCTTCCTCCCCGTCATCGTCGGCATCCCGAGCCCTCTTCTGGCGTGTGGGGGCCTTCCCTTCCGCCGCCTTCCTCGCACGCTGCTTGCGCTTCTTCTCCCGGTTCCGCATGCGGATGTGCTCGGCTCTCTGTTCCAGACTCATCGCTGCAAGCTCGCCCTTCTTCGATCTCGTCTTCTTCCCATGCTCCTCGTTCTCATCCTCGGGTTCATCCGACCTCTTCCTCTTTTTTGCCTTGCGC